CAGGGACCTTTCTACTCTCTGTATCTCTTCATCTGGCTGTTTATTTGTAGGAGGGTACTTCAAAAAGTTCCTGGAAAGATTCCCATTGCCTTTTAATTCTATTTTTCCACAAGCTTTTTGAAGTATCCTCGTATTCTTTAAAATGCCCTTTGTAATAAAATGGTAAATGTGTTTCCCTGAGTTGTGTGATCCACTCTAGCAAATCAATTGAACCCAAGGAAGGGGCTGTGGGAACCCCAAATTATAGCCATCAGTCAGAGCACTGGGGCTTGCAAGTGGCATCAGAAGTGGAGCGCAGTCTAGTGGGATCTGGTGCCCTCTCCAGATAGGTGTCAGAACTGAACTGAATTAGAGGACACCCAGGCGGCATCTGCTGCAGGACTACTGGTGTGTGGGGAAAAACCCCACACACACCTGGTCTCAGCAGTGTCCTGTGTTGTGAGTACAGAAGGACAAACTAAGTGTGTTTTTCCTATATCCTCTCAGGGCACAACACTGGTATTTAATGCATGAGATTTGCCAGGTCTTTGGTGCCTCTTCAGGTTCAGCCAAATGCCGTATTTCACCAGTACGTACCTGCAATGATGAGTTCAAACAGCCACGGCTGGAACTATGGCCCTTCTGAAAAGCAATCTGAACAGTATTGACCCACAGCATTATAATGCCTATGCCCTCTGCTGTGATCAATCCCACTTCTGGAAACATGTTCTATGAAATGATGGAACAGTCACCACAGTGCTTACATTAATGACAATTAGAAACCATCTTAGTGTCCAATAGCAGAACGCTGTGAACCAAAATTTGGTAGACATGGACTATGTCTTCCCAGTTCTGCACCAGGCCCAAGTCCGAGGGAAAGAATAGTAGGATCTGGGGGAGACAGGCTTGGCCCAAGTACAGAAAAGGGATCTAAACTTCCAGTCATCCTTTTACACTGGAAGAAACTGAGGCCAGAGACGCTATGATCTGCCCAAGGTCAGCAAAGCCAGGTCCACCAAATCCCAACACTTCCTGCTTCTCTCTGAGGTTCTGGCCAGGTGAGTTTCTGGGGAGGGCAGACATGACAGGCTGTATTGGAGTCCCTGAGACCACCCTAAGGCTTGATGACTCACTAGGACTCACAGCATGCATGGTTAAGGTTTATCACAGCGAAAGGATGCCAAGTAAAATCAGCAAAGAGAGAAGACAGTGGGGCACCAGGCATGCGCTTCCTGCATCTTCTCCCCGTGGAGTCACACAGGCCTCCCTTCCTTCCTCAGCAACAAGTGACGTGTGTGAAGTGCTGCCAACTGGGGAGTCTCCCCTGAACCTGTAGTCCAGGGTTTCCCTTGGGGGTCAGTCACTGAAGGGAAGGCAGTGTTTGGTGTAAGTCACACTGCCGGTATCCAGGCAAAGCTGTCCAACGTGGCTTCAGGCCCTCATTGGGCAAAACACTCCTATTAGTCAGGAAGTTCCAAGAGCTCAGCTACCAGGAGCCAGCCAAGGCCAGTCAGGCAAACACCTGCAATAAACTGAGACTGCGTGAGGGAAGGATAGTCATGGGACTGGATAAATACTCTATACAATTGTCCTGCATATACAGTCTGATTTCTCTCAGCTCTTTTAAATATGGGATCCCCTAGAGAATTAAAACTCTATTTTATAACTATACCTTCAAAAATATATATAATTATTTTTT